CGGATTGTGTTAGTTGAGTGTTGTTTGTTGTGTGAATGTCACCGAGTCGGTTGTCCGGTGGCCTAGTTGAAAATTACAACACTTACGACATAATAAGGAAGTGTGTGTGTGTGTGTGTATGTGCGTGGGCGGTGGGAAACCCCTCTTCGCACGACAGACTCGGAAGAGAGAGCGGTGTGGTTAAAGAGAGATTTGCGCGAAACGGTCTGGCAAGGTTACTGAGGGTGTTGGCTACCGGTACGGGAAACCGGAGAGAGAAGTTGGTGTGTAGGTTGGATGAGGCCGTGCAGCGTTCGTCCTTGCGCGGTTCGCAGTGACAAGAGGGGGTATCCAAGTTGGGATGAATAGCTGGCACGAACAAAACCAAAAAAAACGGACGACGGACGGGCGACACTTGGGCAGAAAGCTGATCAGATGACAGGAGTCCAATGTGCGCAACAGCAGGATTGCGAGGAAAGAGAGTTTTGTTCTGTGAGGGCGACTGAGTTGCAAGACGGGCGGTTTGCGAAAATTGAGGGGTGGGCGGCAGTCGGTGGGTGGATATTCGTTCGTGGGCTCTTGGGATGTAACCAGGGAAGCCCCCTGCTATTTGGCGAGAGATCGTGCAGTTGGGCGCAAAAAGAAGCGCGATTGGGTGCGAGTGGAAAACAGTGGCAGCTGGTGCTGGGCAGCTATTGCGGGTCGGTCGACCGCTCCGTTACAAGGCGTAAGACAAGGTTGTATGCACAAACTAAGCCGCAGCCACTGCAGTCTAGACGAATCGGCCAGGCCTGGGCGGCTGGTTGCCTTGGGAGAGCTGGCTTGCCCTGATTTTTTGATTGCTCGAAGAGAAGAGCAAAGAGGAGCCTGAATGGTGGCGATGCGATGTGCGATGCACTGCGCTGCGCTGTAATGCGAGGCGAGAAGACGAAGATTGGGAGGAGGAGAAAGAAAGCCGGGGCGAGGGCCAAGCGGGAACCAGGCACTGGAGAAGAGAGAGAGCAAAAGACCCAGTTGTTGGTTCTTCTTTTCCTCTTCTGGGATCCAGGAGCCGGCAGGCGGGTGCTGTCGGTGAGCAGGCAAAGTGCGGGAGACGAGATCAAGATCAGGCCAAGCGACACGATGGCCTTGGACAAGTTGGGTATTTAGTGTCGTGCCGCGGGACTGGAGGGGGATGCTAAGCTACAAGCCTCAGATCAGTGACATGCCCAAAAATCATGTGGAATGGAATTGGCGAGACGCCAGGTCCGTGGAAAAGACAGGCCATTGACATGGGGGCATGAGCGTTGGACTTGGACACGGACACACAGACACGATGGAAGTCCCAAAGGGGAGTGGATGGGGAGGCCTGGAAGAGAAGCGGAAAGAAAATGGGAGCCACCGTAGCAGTAGGGGGGGCTTGAGAAGGAGGAGGGGGAGGGGGGAGGGGAAGACGACGGGGCCGCCCAGCAATGGAAGGGAAGGGGCAAGCACGATGCGAGACCAGCAGTTCCGACCAAAAGGCGGGAGGAGCCTGACCAAGACCACACTATGGACCCCGCCATTTCTCACAGCCAGCCTTCGAGACAAAATGCACAAAACATCTCGCCACAGCGTAAGATAGCTGCCGCGTGGTGTACGAAATAGGGCAGGGTCAGGGCCAGCACAGCAGGCAGAGAGGTGGGCAGAACCGAGCAGAGGCCAGTGATCTGAGCCAGAGCCGGAGGGGAATGGGTGACGATGCAGACGACAGGTATCCGTAGGTAGAACTGCGAACATGGAGGGGGGAGGGGACATCTGAGGCTGGGCGGCGGTCTCGAATCCCCCTTGCTTTGTTGTCCCACTTGGACACCCCCCAGCGAAAGATGGACCTTGGGCCACGCCGTTGGTGGAGGATGGGTCCGCAAAGTGGACGTTGGAATGTCATTGAATGACTGTCAGCACCAGCACCACCACCCCGCTGGTCGGCGCTGCGCCAGATTGCCTGCACACACACGACTTGTGGCATGCCCGAAATCCAACGCCGCCCCTCTCTCCGACCGAGGCCGTTGTAGACTGACTGCCCTATGCAGCTACGCAGTGTGTCAAGCAACAACGGCAATGGCAACGTCAACAACAGCCACGGCGACACCGGCAGCTCGTTGCCCTGTGGACAAGGTAAGGTAGGGTAAGGTAAGGCACGTTAAGAACATGCGAGATGTAGGTAGCCGGCACTTGGCAGCTTCTTGACAGGGAAGATGCAGAAAATCAACAAGAAGAAGAAAACAGGAAAAGAAAGCAAGGAACACCAGACGTGCCTGACGGACAGCAGCAGCAACGCAAGGGATGATGGCCGATTCGATTCGCATGGGCAAGGCAATAAACGCGTTCCGGAAAACAGTGAGAGAAAAAGATTGCATTCTGCATACCTTTGCTTTGACTCCAATCCCATGTGTTTTGTTTTGGTCCCTGGCGGTGTGCGATCCCAAGTTGAGACAGAACACCGACTGAGACCTGACAGAAACCAGAGGTGATGGGAGATCAGATGCACGGGGCCTGTCTCCTGCTGAATTGGGTTCTAGGCCGGAAGGTTTCTGGCGAGGTTCGGATAAGACTGGTCGTGGTCGGGGTCAAATAAGCTCTAGCTGCGTACCCAGTCCTCAGACAGTACGTACCCTTTTATTACCGACACAGGCACCGATGGTGTCAGTCTGCCCTGTGGTGTGGCCCTGGTGGTCGACCTGCACCGGCCGATGGATGTTTTGGTTCGCTCGCTCCAGCTGTTTCGGTGAGGAACGTGCTCTGGACGTGGCTCTGGGCTCCGTTGCGGGACGGTCCTCTAAGGCAGGCGTTGGTTGATGCTGGTGGGGCTTCTGCGGTGGTTCGGCTGGGAGTGTCCCGTCCTTTTTCTTCTCCCATCGACTTCCGATTGGGAGCAATTGCTGGACAAAATCCAGGAAAGGTGGGATGTCGAGGAAGAAAAGAACCAGAGGTTTGGGGGTCGGAATAAGTGTATGTTTAAGCAGGCTGGATGAGACGTCGCAAAGTATTTATTTGGCGGCACGGGAGGAGCACGGAAGGGAGGGAGGGGTCAACGTCGAGTCGACTCGACTCGACTCGACGGGAGTTGAGAGTCGACGATTGGCGTCGGCGGCGAGAACTGGAACGATGCTACTTCTCGCTCCTACCGCTGCCGCTGTCGCCGCTGCTGTTGCTGTTGCTGCTTCTCCTAAGGTACCTTACCTTCAGCGACACCTAGCTGTGTGCCTCAGTCCCCGGTAACCCGGGCTCGCGGCTTATTACTCGTCTTCCTCTCGTAAGGGCGGGCAGGAATGGCCACTGAGAGCGCTTCAGGTGGACGGCACACCACAGACAGCCGTCAGCACTCATATTCCAATCTCTGGCTTTCCAAGTTCAGTTTGGTTCCATCTCGCCTCGCCTCGCCTCCTCCTCACCTACCTGACCATACCGCAGGAGGGACTAACACACCGCAAGAAACGACGGTACTTCGGGAGGGCGCCGTAGCCGTACCCGTACGTACTTGTGAGGCCTGCAGCTGATGTGCGTGTCGTCCGGTTCCGCAGAAGAGGTACCTTACCCAGGGCAGACGCAATTGTCAGTCTTGTCGTGTGCGAGCCTGCCTTGCCGTCCTGTGCCGCCGCGCTGTACCGTTTCCGACTCCCCACATGTGCTGCTTCGTTTTCCCTTCGTCGACTTGGCTAGCCATCGAAACTATGCAGTCAATCCGCAGCCTGCTTCACACTAAAATAAAAGTGGATACACAATAGCACTGACAATGATATTATTCGCAACGAATCTGACTTTTCAAGTCTCCATGCTCTTGCAAGTGGGCAACGTTGTTGTGCATGTGCGAGAGTGATGTTGCAAATGTTGGGTCCAGTGTGAAGGTACTCTGTACTGTGCGAGGCAAGGCATCATGAAAATGGAGGCCGAATTCCACAGACATCAAGAACGAGCCGAGGCGTCGCGTGGCCTGAGGTCTTCTTCGCAGCAGCGATTGTCCTCGCTGGGTGTGAGGGTTCGGTCTAATGCGGGTGACGATAGCGGCGTTTGGCTCTTAACTTCTTCCTCATTTGAAGCGCCAAGTTGCTCGTGAACACGGAGAAAGCAGGGAAGAGTTGAGGTCGGTATCGACGTATGAAGTGCTGGCTCGCTGGCTTGTCTTCGTTCCCGGCTTACTTACATGGCACCGCCCGGATATATACGTGACACCTGAACCTCGTCAGCGCAACTTGATTGGCATATGGATGTCTTGACATATCATCAACATCCAAAATAGACCCCGCCTGACGAAGCTTCGTCGTTGCCCGACAGCTCTGAATGTTCTGCTCGCTCAGATCGACTCGGCATGGTTCTTGAATGGCGGTGCCTGAGACCCGTCCGTGGATCATTTCACTGACTCACTGCCAGCGCACGCTGTGGGCCTTATTAGTCGTCGGGCTCCCAACGCCATGCCTGGAACCTTGGATGACATGCAGCCCTGCGACAAATTGCAACTCGATCATCTTTCATTGGGCACGCCTGCGGGTATGGCCGCGACTGGAGCGATGGAGCTGAGAGGAAAATAACTTGAAAATCCATTTGAAGGTATTGGGTGGCACCGTCTGCCCCTCTGGTGAAACGTATCCGCTGTAAGTTTGGCTCCTTTTCCTGCCCAATCGCCAAAATCACCGGAGCCGCTCTCCATTCGACTGTCGACATGAGGATGACACCAACTGCATGCCTATACGATAAGAAAATGCAGCCCGTTGATTTCATTTTTCGTGTTCCGTAACCGAACAAAATGTCCCTCATTGGCCGGCAAGCAGCGAGGAAACTTGGGCAATGGTTGTCGCACGTGGTGATCCGCTGCAGATACAATGCAGACCCAGCTTCCAATGTTCCGATTGCTCACCAGTCCCGACGAGCAGAGCAGAATATGTCGGCCCAAGTTCGTCAATTACATGCATAAAGCAAGCTAGCATGCTGCCCTGCCAACGTGACCGGATCGTCACAGGACCATGTATCATGAGGTTGTTTGCATGTCGCTCTTGGCTCGTTGTTCATCTCACGAGCTCAACTGACTCTTTGGAGAGCAGGTCGCGCGCCGCTGCCACTTCTGATTCGTCGTAACCTTGCCATAATCTGTCCTTCGCGCTGTTGCGGCGCACAATCTCGGCCAACTTCTGCGTAGCCACCTCATTGAGCTTTTGCACTGTGTTAGTGTCGGGGACAGCCCAATCATCAGCATCTGTTTGCCTCGAAGGCTTCGAGGGCTCCTTTAGAAGTTTGTTTGTCGCCTGGTGGTCTGTTAGCTGCGGTTGGTGATCACTTGGCGGGCTTACTTGCCAGTTTCAAGCCATAGTAACCCCGTAGGTAGTCGTCACATAGTTCGATGCTGCGGGCGAACCTCTTGACAGATTCGGCTAGTTGCTGCTGCGAAGAGCCGTCCGAGGCTGAAGCGGCCATGTACAACACCTCTCCCATACGGGCATGTATCTGACATCAGTTAGCAACACAAAACGCCAGGTGAAGCATGGTAGCATAACCCACATTCCATGCATTCGGAGTCAGCACCAAGACCTCCTCAAGCGCGAAAATGGCTTGTGAGTAGAGTCCCTGGGAGAGGTACAGGTCTGCGAGTTCCGCCCAGGCCTCCGCGTCTGTAGGCGAGAAGTCGAGAAGCGAGTTCAGTGCGCTGATAGCTTCTGAGATCTTTCCTGTTGACTTGAGCAGCGCCACACGACGTTTGGCGACCGGCTGTTGAGAGTCAGCAGGTATTCGTATGTCACATTGGCTTCGTCAACTAACAATGTTTGTGGCATTCTGTCCAAGGATCGTCTCGTACTCCTTGAGCACTTGGACCAGTTCTCCGTCGTTGTCGGCCTCCGCCTCCTTCACGAGTCCCTTGAATGCCATTATGCGCTCGTTGTCGTCTCCGAATCTGATGACCAGCCTTTCCAGGCATTGGTGTGCCGCTTGGCCGTCGCCTGTGCGAAGGCAGGCCAACAGAAGGTTTTCGTAAATGATCCATATTTCCGGGGTCTCGGATGCCGAGAACAGTGAGACCAGGGGCGATGAAGAAAACGCCTTCGGGTTATTTCGAAGAATCGTTGGGGCCTTCTGGGCGAGCTCCAGAGCCTCAGCCGGGGACAGGTGGCCCTGGGGGCGCACGAGAGATGGAGCCATGTTAGAGTGACAGTAGTATTCGCAGAAACTGCTGAAAGTATTCGCTCGAGTCGCGCGATATCGGGGGAGGCAGATCTGCGTCGGCTTCCGAGGTACAGGTTCTCGTTGCTGTCGTCGGTCGTTGGAGGAACGTCGTTTGTAGGTCAACGATCCTGGGTACCTGCCTCTAGCTAGATACGCGACGCCGACCAACCTAACTGAGCTCCCGCACTTCCTTGCAGGGGTACTTGACAGGTGGGTCAATTGCGCTCTTTCCATTGGTTTAGTCGGTGGCCGGCCCTTCGTCGTGCCGACCTTGGCCCCACCGCAGCTTCCCTGTCGCGAACAAAAACTTCACCAGCGCGCAAAAATTGTCAGTTGTTTTCACTCCCACTCACTTCCTCCTGTGCCACCCAAAACCTGGAGATCTTCGAAGATTGTGTGCACGCCCGCATTAGCTTGTGAGCGTGGGACCTTCGGCCCCTGTGTACTGATCAGTCACATCTGCAATGGCATCTCCCGAGGCCGTTCAGACTCCCAATGGAGTGGACGAGCTAGGCCTCGTTGAGAAGACGGCCGATCTCCAGGTGTCCCAGCCCAACGGCCAGGAGGAATGTCCTATCACTACCCAGAGATCGCGCGACCCCGACTTCAACCAGAAGAGAAGCGACCCGTTTCAGTTCGGCAGTCGCTTCCTGGCAGAGGGCGATGACGCCTTCGAATTCAACGCTTGGGACCACGTCGAGACTGACGATGCATACAAGGAGTATGCCGAGCAGCAATACGAGATGCAGCGTCAGTCCCCGGTCTCTGATTTTGACAAGAGTAAGTTTTACCCAGTTGCATCTGCTTCTTCCAAAAACAAAACAACACAGGTGTTATGATGATTCAGATTTTTTTCGCATAGTTCAGCTGAATCTTTGTGATGAGAATTTCTGTTATAGTCTTTCGCTCCCATCTGATCGCACCTTTACAAAATTGCTTGTTTTTTTTTATGCCTGCTTCTTTCTGTGCGGCTCGCTGACAAGAAATTTTCAGACAGATTCAACGCCAACCCCGCCAAAATGTGGGATGCCTTTTACAAGAACAACACAGCAAACTTTTTCAAGAATAGGAAGTGGCTGCAGCAGGAATTTCCTATCTTGACAGAAGTGACCAAGGAGGATGCCGGCAAGACTGTGATCCTTGAAATAGGCGCAGGTGCCGGTAACACCGCCTTCCCTATTGCGGAGTTCAACAAGAACCCTAACCTGAAGATCCATGCCTGTGATTACTCAAAGACGGCCGTAGAGGTCATGCGAAGCCAGGAGGCGTACAGCCAAGGCATCGTACAGGCCGACGTCTGGGACGTGACCAGCGACGAACTCCCGCCCGGGTTGGAGGAGGGATCCGTCGACATTGCTATTCTCATATTCATCTTCTCTGCCTTGGCTCCCAATCAGTGGGACAAGGCCCTTTCCAACATTTACCGACTCCTCAAGCCAGGAGGCCAGGTCTGCTTCCGAGACTATGGAAGAGGTGATCTCGCCCAGGTTCGTTTCAAGAAGGGTCGTTATCTCGACGAAAATTTTTACGTGCGTGGCGACGGCACCCGAGTCTACTTCTTCGATAAGGACGAGCTTGAGCAGATTTGGTCTGGCAAGAAGAAGACTGAGGGAGATGACCCAAAGGCCGTCTTCACCGTAAATGACATCGGTGTCGACCGACGTCTGCTGGTCAACAGACTCCGCAAACTGAAGATGTACCGGTGCTGGATGCAAGGACGGTTTACGAAGGAATGAACAAGTCGATAGTACAGCGCACAGAACAGCACGCCCGTGAAACTGCTTGCTACTACTTGCTGGCTACAGATGGCTGGCATCACCCTCACCGAGTCCGACGCCTGGTCTAGCATAGCAGACGTTCCCTCAGTCTCTGACGGTCATCCTGGTCAAACCCGATCTTGTCCAAGTAATTGTCCACTCCACCATAGACGCTTTCGAGGTGCTGAGCGATTCTGGCGATCATATCCGGTGCCGTGTCGAACCACTCATCTGTCAAACCGATCTCTCTCATCTCGACCAACCTCTCTTCCCTCTCGGATTCGAGCGCTCCCTGCGTCAAAGAATAATCATGTTCAATGGCTTCGAGAGGCACATTGAGGATCAGCAACACGAGGGTTACGATGAGCCCGGTTCTGTCCTTGCCTTGGGTGCAGTGCACCAACGTGGGCGAGCCTGCAGGGTCGAGGAAGACTTTGAGGGCCTGAGGCTGCTCGTCAGAGATGGGTGTGCAACGTTGCTGAAGGCTCACGTACCTTGGCAACCTCGGGTCCGGATTGGTCAAGGGTGTCGAGACCCAGACCTACCAGGCCACGTGGCAGCATAACCTCGCGGGACAGAATAGAGATACCCTCATTGCGATAGCCGAAGATGAACAGGAAGATGAGACGGCTACGTAATGGGGGGTTGAAAGTTAGCCATAGCTAGCAAAATGGAATGGGAATGCAAGCAAGTTCCCTTACAAGAATCCGCCCCAAGAGACCTGCGATATCAGAAAGCGCTCAAAGTTGCCGCCAGTGACTCTGATCTCGTGATACTTTAGGCCCGATATCTGGATCGGCTCAGCCAGTGCAGCGTTGGACTGCAGGAGCGCGGGAATCTGGAGGTCGGCCTGGCGCTTTTTGGCCTGCCTGACGTGTTCGGTCCTTGATGGCGTCAGTCGGTGATCGGGGTGCGGGATCTGGCATGTCCAAGGGAGAAGGACGGTGAATGTGAGTGTGTGAGTGTGACACTCGCTACCTACTTGGTGCGCAGGTCAATCACCGCCTTGACGCCCAGGTCATCCCGGAGGCGTTTCCTGTCCTCCAACGAGGCATCGTCTGTAGATGATTAAAATCTAGAGTTGTGCATAGAGTGCAATGATGCATTAGAGGGTTTTCACACACCTGGTCTCGCAGAGCGAAACACCAAGCCTTCCCGGATAAGTCTAAGCAGCAGATACGAGAAATGAAGTCAGCGTGTGCCGTGTGCCTCTGTTTGAACCCCGGTTTCATAACCAGGCAAAAATGAGGGTGCACAGTAAGAACGGGGTCAAACGTACTTGCGTCCAAGATAGCTGTTCACCGTGGAACCGACGTCACGGAAGTTCAGGACGGAAGTCACGCCACAGTTGTCCATGGCCTAATTAGCAGTTGAGTTGCCCAGCCAGCGCTGCAGAAGTCTTGGGGAGGGTGGTTAGGTATTAGTCAACCGCTGGGAAACTGAACTAGCAGTTTGATGGCGCGGCGGGGGTTTTGGGGGTGTCAAGCGTGAGTGTCTCTGGCACCGATGGAGATGCGAAGAGCGACGTTGCTCTGACGCCACGAATTTTCTGCTCCCTGGGCTTCCTCCCGCCGGAAGATCGGGACGTGATGGTGCCAGGCGAGAGTGACCCCCGGGCCCTCCCTTTCCCTCAAGCCCACTCGTGGCCGTCCGACCTCAATTTGACGCCCTTGTCGCTGTCAGATAGGCGGTTTGGATCATCGACCGGGGTCCGGCAGATCCCTGCAAGTCCCCGAAAAGCTTAAGAACCGGGGGGGTTTTGATGTCACCGAGGGCAGCTGGGACCCAGGTCTGAGATGTGAAATGGCGCGGTGGTGGTCTAGATCAGGCCGTTTGCCGGTCGCAATCTTTTTGGACGTCTGTTCCAAGCAGATGCGGTCGGTGATGCACTGGCACAATCTAGGCTTCCAGGTCGCATGTCTGCTTTTCCAGAATATCGGATCGAGCAAACTGTCTGAGCACGAACAGGTCGGGACCTTCGTCCCAAGTGGTTATATTTGGTAGCAGTTCAAGCATGCAGAATGCGATGCATCCATCCATCGACCATCCGAGGTGAGGCTGACTGTGCACCAGTCTGTTCAACGAATGAAGACGCCCATTAAGCTTCAGGAGATATCAGGTACGGTGCGGCAGCTGGAACGAAGGGAAAAAGCAAGCCTATCAGCCCAGGACATGCCTCTAACACGGAGCAATTGGGTTTCCTCTTCTCCTGAGCCCTGATCCAAACTGTCTTTGACTCTACTGACCATCACCGGCGCCTTATCAGGCACTCAAAGTCAGAGAGCTTCTTCGGCTTTCGCAGTCGGTGAAGACGCGGAAACAGGAGAAACACAGGGAAGCAGCATGCGGCAGAGTCCGGCTCGGAGGGCCCATCTCCCAAGTCCCTCCAGGCCGGTCGAGCTGGGTCTAGCTCGAGGTCCCAACCAGTGATCATCGTGTCCCATTGCCCAATCCAGTGGCCAGAACGTGGTCCAGCACTCCGCAGCATCAGGAAAACGGCACACCGGAATGGCCGTCTCCAGAGGTTAAAGGGCAATTGTGTCGATCCGAAGCCACAAGCGCCGGCGAGGCAGCCGACAGTGTGGACGTGTAGGAGGTTTGCGACGACGGATAGCGCAGTTCAGCCCTGGTGGGTGTCATTCGTTCCTCTCGGTACCCAACGGAGACTCAGGTGCACCACTCTTTGAGGTGAAGACTTTCTGAGCTGACTACTAGCAGTGGTAGACGGGCTAGACAGGGGTGTGTCAGGATTGATCATTGGGGGGGTTCTCAAAGCGACTAGCATAGAGGAGACCGCTAAGGCCCAAAGCGGATGGATGGGCCACCACCCAAGTCGCAACATGACGTAACGGCGGCAGCCGTGGTCGCTCACCATGACCAGCACTAAGACTGAGGTGCGCCAACCCGACCCAACATACCTCATCGTGCGCGCCGGACCCTTCACCTTTGACCTGAATGACTGACTCTCTGTTTCCCAGCGCGAGGTGTGCAGGTTGAATGATATAACTCCTATCCCTCCTAGGCACGATGCCCTGCCGCCTGCGCCTGTTCCGGCATTTCGTACCTGATTTACCATCCTGCGGCCTGCAACTTGCACCTGCACTGCCCTACCCTGCGACGTAACTCTCTTGTCGTCCCAATTACGATACCCCAAACGATAGCTACGACCCGATACTTTGGTGGTGCGTACGATCCTTTTTGCGACACAATTCGGATAAG